AGACTTTTTTTTTTTTTTTAAAACAGAATTGGTGAAATGGGAAACCATACCAGGACAGCCCGATAGGCAAGGACAAAGGGAAAACTGGACCGAGTATCAGCAAAATCAGTCGAACCAGAGGCGATCAATACAACATCGGAGAAGGTCAATGTATTAGACCTAGAATGGTGATGGTTCCACCAGATCCAGTAGAGAGTAGCCGGAGGAAATTGACCTTGGCCTTGAGGTCCTCGATCTCGAGCTTGAGCTCCTCCTTAGTCTCGCTGGCCTCCTCGTAGCACTCCATGTACGTGTCGACATCATGTGCCCTATACTCCTCCTTGGAAGAAAGGCATTTCATCTTTCCCCTCCTCGCAACGGATCCGTCTTCGTCTTCCTCCTCGTCGCCAAAGTCTGTGTCGGAGGCCAATGGAAATCACGACCGGTCAAACTAACAGAAACCATTCATTTAAACTTCAGTTGCGATAATTTGAAAGGACTGGTATACAAATGAAAGGTTTGAACAAAGTCTGCTACTTAATGAATAGTTTGGTACCGCTGTTGCAATTATCCCTAAATTGAATGTACTCTTGGTCAACACTCAAATAAATTTCCTCAAAATTAATTATTTGCAATAATGATGCATTTAATTGACTTGAAAAAGTCCCAAAAGGTGGTAGTACCTATCCCAATAAAGTAGACGACTCTAATCGAGTCTACTATCTCTCAATTAATGTCTGACTCGTGGGTTTGTAATCACTGAGGTACAAGTCTTTATCAGCTAAAATTGACGATTAGTTCTACCTAACGCATTTGTAAGGGCAAGCATGCTACACTAACATGATCAATAACCTGTTAAAAAATAGATTGGGATACGTGTCGATACATGGTTGAACAGTTTGAAAAAAAAAACACTCAATCATTATCTGTCATATCATCCTCTCACCTCCATCCATGTCCTGTTTGAGTGGCATAATTCTTGTAAGAATGATTACAATAATGTTTCACATTACCCATTGAAGGGTTTTACTGTGGGCCCTGGTAAAGTGAGGTGGCCGTGTGGCCCCTTGACACGTACAAATAGCAAAACCTCTCGTTGAATTAGACCATGTTTATGTTGCTACACAAACAACGGGGAAATAAGCAGCAGCCTGAACGTGTGTGATACATAATGCAGCTGAAGTTGACAACACGAGATAGAGTGCAGAAAAATTAACACATTTTCGTAGTCTTTTTGTACGTTCGATTTAATTTAATCCGATCAAATTGAGTATACGAAAAAAAAAACTACACAGCATTGTTAACCTACAATAGCCAGTCGAGGGTTGTGAGGCTCAATTGTCGGTGGTGAATAGTGACCGGATATCATGGGTTTCCCGCAAATTATT